GAAAAAAAATATTATATGGAATTCAACGAAAATGAAAATTTGCTTGATAATTCAACTACGCTTGTTGGAGAACAATAAAAACACTACACTCAACAAGCCACCAATAAAACTCAACCGCCTAACCTATAACCAAAGTCTCCTTTTAATTTGTTTTTTAAAAAAAGCGCTTGACAAACTTGCCCCGCATGCCGAAGTTGCCCCCGTCTCCCCTATATTTTTTCGTACATAATCGGTTATCCGAAACATCGATCTTACGAACAACCCCAGTCCCCAATTGATTCGGATAATCGACGCTCTACTGTAATTGTATTTCTTTTTAGAAAATCCAACAACGAGTTGAGTAACTTTTCCAGCAAGAGTTAAAATTGTGTATGGCGCCATCTGTTACGAGATTTTATTTAAAATAACTTTTTATATTATTAATTAGTATAAAATGGCAAAGAGCTTAATTTTGAGGGTAGAGATGAGATATATATACTGTATAAACAAAATTGTGAAGCTAATAACAAGTAAGTTCTTCGTTAAGTCATATGACACAAGACATGCTCTATTTCCCCACCACCTCGAGCTTTAACCTTCAAAATTTAATAGCGTCAATGCCCCTAATACACAAACCTATCTGCAAAATTTCATAAATTTCTGACAAAAAGCACAGGAATTATTAAGCTTGAAAACGGTAGAACAAAATCATGCTTCCTCACTCACACACACACACACACACACACACACACACATGCACATGTTTGTACACAGAAAAATCCCCTAACTTTTTTGATTTGTCAAAGATTCCGAGTTCAGAAATGTAAAAATCTTGAGGGGGATTCATTTCTTTGAGTGATCGCCATACATTTCCTGTATTATTGAATATATAAAACAGCCAGGAATGTAAAAATGAAAGTAAACTCCAAAGTTAACGATATATTACTTCTATATAGAGCTACTTTAATAAAGAACAGAGTTTATGTTTGTATTCCTTCAAAGATATGACATTGAAGAATTCCTTCCTTGCGTGATTCATTATATTCGAGCTATTTTGTAAATGTTTATTGAATTTATTTCCCATTTCCTAATGATAATCCGCGGTTGAAACGTCATAAATCAAAACTCACGACAGTTATCTTCATCGGAATGATCATCGCAATCTTTTTCTCCATCGCATTTCCACTCCATATTGATGCATCTTCCATCCGAGCATCGGAATTCTCCTGTACGACATTCACCAGGTCCAACTAAAACAATTAAAGTACATCTAATGCTTTATTTATTGCTTATTTATCAAAAGATTGTTTAATTTAATAAATTAAATAATACATAAAACTAGTTATTGAAGCTTTGACCCTATAAAAATTGCCAAATATAATTATTTTGAAAATATTTATTCGAATTTCTCTTTAATTGATCAGATAATTTTGGTAAAATTAATTAAATATTTTTAAATTTTATTCTTGAATAAAATGTAACGAATTTATTTCACGAATTTACAAATTTACTAATGTATAATAAACTAAATTAAAATGCAAACAATAGATCATTAGAAGGTGTTTATGGTGTAAACATCATTAATGTAGAAATATTGAATTTTTAATCCTGTAATTTCCACGAATATTTAAGAAAATTGAAATTTGTTTGTACAGAAAATTTAACATTACATTAAATTAATTTTCGCATAAAATAATAAATAACGATTTAAATATTAAGTAACCGTTATTTCAAATTTCAAATTTAAAAAAGAAAAATCGTTAATTAACCGTTATTTTATATATGAAAATTGTTCGTTTTCACGTTTATTGGTTAGCGAAGCGTAGTTTATTATCTACAAAAAAATGGTTTTAATGATACAAAATTTAATTAATTAAAAATAATTTAAATTTCGTATTTATTTATTTATTTTTAGTTTGTTTAGTTTATTTTCTTACCACACGATTTCTCGTCGGACCAATCGCCGCAATCGTTATCACCATCGCAGCGATAAGTAGCTGCGATACATCGGCCATTTTGGCATTTGAAGAATTCCGAAGTACATTGAGAAGCATCATTTTTCTTCGATGCTAAAATCAAAAATTCAATAATAATTTAGTAACTTTTACACGAATTATTTAAATATCGTGTTTCTTTAGTAGTTTTTGTATGATCCGTGAGAAGGGTGGGAAAAAAATCCTCTTCTCTCATAAACCCAGAAAAGTCTTCTCAAAAGTAATCAAAAATCTTTCGTCTTACAACATAAAGTTATTATGGATTCCCTCCTTGTTAAATATATAATATTATTCTAAGCACTTTAGCAGAAACTTAAGTGACAACATCGATTAGATCATTTATCTATGGTCATTAGCACAAGTGCAAATATGTGTACTAATGTACTTCCCCGTTCAGTTTATCCTCCACGTCACGAAAATCAATATTAAATAGCCAAGCAATTATCAAGTCGAATAACGAAAATGCTAATTAAGAATCTCCTGTAATAATTAAAGTACTCCATAACACTAAGTGCTTATTATTTTAGAGTTTATTTACATTCTTATCGCATCAAGTGCGTGCATTTTTTAAATAAAAATTTAAAAACTTTTTACAGTTTAAATTGAAAAAAATGTTTTTCATAAAATTAAGAAGAAAAAAAAACTCTAAAATAATATTTCCAATTCTTATCTACAGAATAAGAGTATATTAGAGAAGATAAACGTTATTTAAGAATTCGAATAGGACTATTTCTATTCATGAAACACGAAATTAGCCTTTGAAGGAAATCACGACGAAGAAGAATTTTTAAAAAATACTTTCAAAATATTAATTTCCATATTTGTAGAGAAGCTTATGGTATATTCTTCAATAGGAATTTATACTGGAAGAATTTGTAAAGTGTTATCGAATACAAAAGTGGACACACATTTAGATAAATCATACTTGCCACACTGTTCTTCATCCGATCCATCTAAACAATCAACATCGTGATCACAACGCCAGGTAAAACTAATGCAACTGCCATCTGCACATTTGAACTCCGAAGACGAACAACTGATAGAAGCTGAAATAAGATTTATTTAATGCGTTAATATTAAAAAAATCTCCAAATCTTACACGCTTCTCTAAGAGTTTTTTTCGACCTCTTCAACAACCTTCTACCCTTAATTCACGTTATAAATCGTGTAGCTTACAATGTCTTGTTTTAAAAATATATATATTTTACGGTTTCTTTAAGATCGATTAAACAAGAAATTCTGTAAAATTATTCAAAACTTAAGTTAGGAAAGAGTTAGCAACCCAAATTGATTGAGGCAAATGGATAGCGAGACCACAATTCCCCAATTAGATTCGCATCAGGTAATAGTACTTCAGGGAGCTGTTCTTTATCTAGCTTTTGTCAGATTGAAACCGCAAATTATTAATTAATTCACTACTAATAAAGAGGCCGGCTACTTACAGCAGTTTTCATCACTCTTATCTCCACAGTCGTTATCTCCATCGCATTTCCACTCCTGAGCAATGCAACGCCCGTTGGCACACTTGTACTCCAATTCTGTGCAATTCCTGGCAACTGTGAGGTAAAATATATGTACTATTATTACAAAACACCAAGTAAAATATATTGTGTTTCGGATTATAACCACATTTACCACAATCATTTTCATCGGCATTATCGGGGCAATCGGGATCATCGTCGCATCTCCATCTTTTCAGAATGCATTTTCTATTGGTGCACATAAACTGATCTGATGAACAAGTGGGTGGATCTAGTTATAAAATAAATAGAATTTTTATAAAATTGGTCCGGAAAAATTGAAATTTTATTAAACAGGAAGCGTTTTATTCATTTAAACAGCTTCCCTTCTTCAGCTGTAACAATTAAAGATGTTCTTTAATGGGTACATCATCCTCTTCCCCTAGATGTAACAAATTAAAGAATTTGGCCATTTCTAATTTCTTACGTCAGGCAAAATGACTACTTTCATAAATTAAAATACCCATTTTAACTCGTCTGAAGTGATATATTTAGTGCAGCTAATTTTACATTTGAGACTGTTTGAAACAAGAGAAGCAAGATTTAATAAATGGTGATGGGTCTGTGAAGATGTGAAAACAAAATGTATGCGGACTATCTATTCAAATAATGAATTCTTCTCTTTGTTTTTAAGTAGAAGATAATAATCCATAAGACAATTACTTAGAAAAAAAAAGAGGGAACTTCTTCAATAACACGAGTTTTTTGTCGTTGTATTATTTTTTTTTACTTTGGAACTTCAATTAATAAAATGAAAAAATATCCATTGTCTCCTGGACTCATTCCAAATGAATATCACCCATTTTATTTCGTTTCTAAATAAATTCTTCGGGTTATATTTAAAATTATAAAACTTTTTGACAAAGAAATAGTTACTTGCGTCTAAATCCATTAAATTTGAATGGGGGAGAAGGAATAAACAAAAAGAAAATCCTCGCTAATAAATAAGCAAAATGCTTTCCACCTCTGTTAAAATTTATGTCTTTCACGAAGAAAAAAACTTTGAATATATATATTTTTCTTCTCGTTTTAGATTTACTTTAACTTTTTATATCATTTGCTTATTAAATTGAACTTAAGTTCGCATTATAAATCCATCTTTGAGAAAATTTTATATTGGATTCTGGAAATCTTATAAGAAATGACAAAGACGTTTTATTTGATAGAAAGGATTGAAGATAACAAGAAATATTACTTCTATCTGTAGAATTTGAACGATGAAAACGATAAATTACACTCTAAAATTTATTCTTTTTTAAGAAAATATAAAGATTATCTTCTATATTTTTCTGTTTTATAACTAAAATTAATTAATTTGTTTAATAAAATGTAGTTTTACGAGTATGTTTCTTTCCCTTTCTGTCTGTTTGAAATGTAGGGATAAGGGAAAAAATATATAAAATTGTACTTCTAGAAATGGACTTTTTTAAACAAGATTTTCGCAGTTAATAAAATCTGACAAATCTATAATTTTTTACAGACTATAAAAATAGAGAAATTTAAGCAATAATTTACTAAAAATTTACACAATTACAATCAAACCTGTGTGAAGAACGATCTTAGAAACACGAATAAAATGGCGGTTATTCTGTATGCATTTCAAAAAGAAACCTCTCTGGCCCGTTTGGAGGTGTTTATTATTGGAAGTTCGACTGTAATTGCATTCAGTTCAATATGAAAAATTGTAGACCTGCAAATTTCTACTGGCGTCTGTCTGTCTGTCCATTGTTAATCTCCAGAATGGTGTTACATAGATAAAAATCGAGACCAGATGTAAAAATCTTAGGGCAGAAGGCCCGATTACCTATATATGAACTTCCGATATACAAAAGAAGTCACGTACAACTTTCATTTCATAATTTTTTTTCATAACAGAGTTACATAGATGACCAGCATGATTCTGTTGTCGACAGGAAAAGTATGATGTACTGGGGCGAGAAATTAATAATTTGAGATGGAGAGCATATATTTTTAATTAAATAAATAAAAAATTGCATTCGTGGTGTATATTTAGGCCTATACGTAATTTATAACGAAAGAATTGTCGAAATGGTCATTAATATAATTTAAATTTATCAAATAATAAAACTAAAAATTAATGCTTCGGTATGTCATATATTAATCCTTTTTTTCATTTAATTTGAATCAATTGAATCAGAAAAATCAGTAGACGAGATATAGAAGTAAGATATTAATACAACATGAGATTGTTTGAAAGTCAAAGAATTTTCCGTTATTCAATAAAAGTTTCTACGATAAGTTCAAGAAAGCATAAAACGAAACAGTCACAATTTCGGGCTGGAATTTCTAATAATCTTTTAATTTTAAAGGACCGAAAGTTCGTATATAGTTAATCGGGGAAAGTGGCCCCTGATCTTTCCATATTTGGTCTCGATTTTCACCCAAATAGAGACCAGTTTCTCGTAGGAAGTCCTCCAAGCGGGCAGCCCACTTGGCAGATCGCCCAAGTGTTACGTTGCCGCATACCATCAATCCAATCCAATTGAGAGAAAAGCCACAATTATCATACAGTAAATGGCTTTATTTTCGATTGCTTACGTAAATTATTTGTTCAGAAACAGCGTGGTGCAAAAATCGGTTAACCTTATTTTGCCGCATGCCTTTGAAGCGCATCTCGAAATAGTTTTTATAAAGTTTGTATACAATAAAGAATCTGAATCAGATAACAAACTTTTAGATCAACCTGTGTTAGAGGCAGAAGGCCCCGATTAACTATATAAAGTGTGCTGGAGTGAGCCGAAATTCACGTGATATCTATTCAAACATCTTCTCCAGAACGGAGTTAGATAGATGACACTGTTGTTATCAGAAAAAGTATGATATACAAAGCACGACATTATTAAAATCGCGAGCATACATTTTAATTTATTTAATTAAAAATTATAGCTCGACATTGTGATTATGTCACAATAATTCTGTCGATTTTTATCTGATTTTGTGATTGAAACTTTCCAAAAAAAAATTTCATTTCAATTATTCATTGTACCTGTGAATATTTAATCATATCAGTCAGATAAGAAGATGAAGGAACTTATTTTCTTTTCTTTAAGTTTCATAATATCACATAAAAAAGGCAATTTCAAGATAAAATTAAGAATAAAACTAGTGTCATTCTTTACACTCACACAACTAGAAAATGACAGCATTTCGTTATTTTCTGCTTTTATTAGAAATAAAATAAAAGCAAAGAACATAAAATAAATAAGATGCTAAGGGAAACATTCTTGATCTTTTGTTTTCGGAAAAGTTTTAATTTATTCATCCTTGCAAATAATTACAGAATCTATTTTTACCTTTACTCTACTTCATTATTCACTTGGATAGAAGTAGCAACCAGACAATAGAAAAAAAATATATAATTAAAGATAAACAAATACACTAAGTTCTGGATAAAAAAAAATTCGCTCCTCAGTACGGCTAATAAAAATATAGAATATGCAAAAATTAATAAATTTCGAATTGTTTTATATATATAAAGTATATATTGATTGAATATATGCTGTAAGAAATCGTTGCGAATGGCAAGACCAATTGCTTAGAAAGATATCTGTATCCAGTATCTCACTATAAGTGAGAATGTGCCACAATAAAAGATAAGTGTTGGATAGCTTTGCTGCCTGTGGCACGACTCGAAGACAACTAAATCCTCTAGAAAAAAAAAGTGCATTGTAAGTCAAATATTCTGAAAAACGGATGGAGACTGGATGAAAATATCTTGCAGTACTAAAAATAACACTATCCGTTAGTGTATTTGCATACATTTTTCTAGATTTTCTTGTGTAAGTAATGTATTCTGTAGGGTGTGTATTTCTGTAGGTTACATACAGTATTTTCGATGGTAGGGATTCTAAACCTTTTTTGTTCCACGGAACCATTTCCAGTCAGGTGAAGATCGTGGATCCCTTTTCGGAATAATGTTCTTAAATGCACAAAATAAAATTACAAAAGAAAACAGTTATATAGAAATATGTGCTTCTTTCTTAACACACTCAATAACACCAAAATTAAGAAAAAGTTAATTTTTACCATTGAACATAGACCCTGAATATTTTCAGGGATTTGATTTTTACCCATAGACGCCTAAAAATTCTCCAAGGATCTCTTGAGGTCCGTGGCCTTTAAGGGTAAAATTTAACTTATTATCTTAATTTTGGGTTCTTATTATCTTAAGATTAAGATAATAAGAAATTCAGAAGTGGCCGTCATCGAAGGTTCGACTGTAATATAGGTAATAATAAAAAAGAAAGTCACTTAATATCTCTGCTACAGAATATAGAACGTACCCGAAGTTAATTCGCTCATTCCAGGAACACATTAGACCAAGGCGGAAACAGATTGATGTGTGTTACACGCATGGCCGCCATCTTCATGGCAGCCATATTGAATGCAACTCCGAAATTTTAAATGGAAAAGGGGTCATGTGACACATCATTTAGGGTCAGAATTTCACGAGGAATTGATTGCTGAAAGATTTTATTGAGTACCTCGAACGGTTACAGAATTATGCACGTTACATGATGTTCTCAATGTACAGTACATTCTTTGGGTACTGTACATTCTATATTCTGTATCAGGGGTGTTAAGTGACTTTCTTTCCCACCCTGTATTTTATTACACACAATATCAACTGAAAACTTTTTACAGAAGAATATTTACATATAAAATTTTGAATTGAAAATGTTCTTTAATAGGACAAATCTCTTATTTTTAATGAATAGGCAAGTTATTTTTCTTTTTAAGATGAAGTATCAATACTTTATCTTAAAAATTTGAAAGAAGCTTTTCAAATCAAAACTCGAGTAAATTTTTGAGAGGATGAAATAATATTTTTCAGTTTTCTTACAAAGTATATAGTATGTGACAGAAAATCGGATATGAAAACGTAAATACGATTGAACTTTTCAAACAATATACCGAGAAGTCTGCAACGAAGATTTGTAGCATTGACTTCTTAGGATTAGCATTTCTACTCACCATGCAAAGTTCACGATATTACACGAAAGTATTTTCTGTACGTTTTATAAATCATTATAAAACGGCAAAAAGCTTAATTTTGAGGGTAAGAATGAGTTTTTTTATATGAAACAAAAAAACTAAATGCTAATAGCTAGTAAATTCTTCATTAAGTCAAACCCTACTCCATATATGATAAGCGAGCCCCTCTACATCCCCACCCTCTCTACTTTTAATTACTAAAATTTGAAAGCATCA